AGGCCTTCGTGTCCAGTTGTCCTCCTCCTACAACGCTGTTATTGAAAGTATGACTCCGCCCACTGTGAGCAAATGGTGTGAATCAGGGCCCCAACGATACCAACACAAAGAGGGAAACAGAAACAAAAACAAGGGGATGTTGAACCCCGCCTGCATTCACTACATACACATAACAAAACACCAAATAACCACAGCATCCAAACCAACAGGTCAGGTGATGGGGCACATGACCCTCTATGAATAATAGAGCTAATCAAGCCTATTGTTAGTCGATGGCCCTCTTTTGCATGTGACTAACCTGTTTGTCCAGGTGGAGGCGGAGCTTATAAGGCTGAGTTCACCTGAAACTCATCAGACTGAAGAAATCTCTTGGAGGAGAGATGAAATGTTTCACTAAAGAAGAACCATCCAGAGGAACTACTGATTTTTTCTTTTTGATTTTTTCTACCTGGATTACTGAGATGCATCAGGACATTATACCTAGAGTTAAACAGAAACGAGCCTGGCCTGTTGAAAGAGTCAGAGAGCAGTAACTCAACCTGACAACACAAAGATCCATAAAGGAAAGAGCTGAAGGTCTCACCAACATAATAGGAGAAGGTCCGTTTAAGGCGATCGAACACGAACCAGCGTTTCTTCCAGGATTTAATCTTGCCTCCCATCTTCACCAGGTAACCTTTGCACATCTTCTCTGTGAGGATGACATGGTAGCAGGTGTCCACACTGTGGCCTGATGACTCCACGTGTGAGCGCAGGTCAAACTCCTCCTTCCTGATGGGCAGGTATCGGGTCATTGGGCGGGCCTGGGTGGACGAGAACGCAGTAAATATTTATCACAGTTATGTTTTTGCCTGTTTCTTTGCATGCTTTTATTTGTATTAGCAAATTATCAGACGAAACACCAGACACATGGTACTGTGACTTGTCCCTGGATGTTCATTTGCAACAAAATAACTGTTAAAGTCAAACTAATTCAAGATGGCTACCAGAACTAATCGACCTCAGCAAAAACAAATACACTGCAACTCAGGGGTCATGTTGGCTGAGACTGATGACAAACACTTTGAGAGCTAACACAGAGCCCAACTACTCTCCACTGTGAGGGATCAGTGGTTCCAGGGTCCTCTACACATGAATCCAGTGGTGGCCACACGTCTGTTCATCCTCTAACAGTGGAACAAATATTTTGCTGAGTGTAAAATACCATTTGCATTAACTTTATAAATGTTTATCGCTATTATTTTTCGAAGAGTTGAAGTAGTCCATATGCAAAGTGAAAGCAGTGTTTCAGTTCAGCCTGAAGGGCTGTAGGTGAGGCAGAGTTCACTGAAGTTAGGGGGTCTGAAGTCTCACCTGTGGTCTGATCTAAAGGACTTCATTTTTAAGTCAAGGGAAAAGGCCAATGAAAACAAACTGCAGTGGTGGGCAGCGCTAATCCAAAAATTAGCTCCGCAATTTCTAAAGCGCTTATGAAAATATTTAGGTCCGCAAATTCAAAAGCGCTTATGCCATAGAAAAATTAGCGGAAGCTATTTTTAAAGCACAAGTTCAATTTGACAATCACTAGCTGACAACAATTCATGTACAACACTGCCAACTAGTGGAGTATGAACCCTTGTACAGCTTAATCCTACAACCGTTGATTACTGGGGATGTGATTTCATGAAACATAACTTTGGCTCCTGGTGTAAAAATTAAAAAGTTGTTGAGGATTGCTAGTTCGGCTGATACTTTGTCTTTTTCTTTTGTTTGTTGTAGATTTTTCATTAAAGAAGCATGAATAAAGTGATTTTAAAACTGTTTATTGGAAAACAGAAGCGATGCATTCTGGGTACATGACGGATTTGATTTGTGACGGGAAACGAAAGCACGGAGTACAGGAAACTATCTTCAAAATAAGAGCGTGGATTTTAAAGTTTTCCATGTAGTTGCTCCAGTTGACCACTAGATGTCAGTCTTCATCAGCATAACATCTTTAATTTCTGAGTCTCTAACCCTGTCGCTTCGACCAATTACATCAAGTATTGAGCTCCAGTGTTTAAACTTTATTTTTTTTTAAAGGAGCTCCGATTGTAAAGTAAAATAAATCAATACATACAAAATTTTAGTATGGATTACAAACGTTTACTTTTTTTACTGTTGTCTTCCTGCTATGTAAGCAGACACAAAGCATTGTGGGAAACCAGAACCATGACCCAAAGCAACAGTCAGCAGGATGTATACCTTCACAATAAGAGTGTTTATCTGGGAGGGGTGCTGTTGGATAGATCACATGTTGTGATTCATTGACAGTCATACCTTCTGCTGTTCAACATAATGATGACTTGTAGATAATTAGTTATTAGCAGTACTGCATTTTAATTTTAGAAAGTGTAAATCTGATTATGAATTATAAAAATTAGTGAGACCACTAAAGCACAAATGAAATATTTAGGTCCACAATTAGTGGATTTGCGCTTTAGTGGGCTGGTGCCCACCACTGCAAACTGTACTTTCAGTGCGGTGTGTGCAGCCCAAGAAGACCACTACAGGACAGGTGAAGGGTCTGCACAAATTGTAATATGAAGAAGAAACACCCGGCACACACCAGCCAGTTTGAGGTTATCTGTGAATCTTATTAACGAGGCCTTGAACTCCACACTACAAACACTGAATTCAGAACTTTCTGGACGGGAAGCAAAGCGTCTGTCCCATCTATCACTCTTCATACATCCAGCAGTTCTCCCATCTCTCCACACATCCACACGTCTCACGACCAAAGCCTGATTTATTTGGTGCTGTACTTTCCTCCACACACATGCAGATGAATCTGATTTTCCTGACCTGTGTGAGGTTTTTGGACCTCATCTTGACCTCCCTCTCCACAAGCTGCAGCCGGTGGAAAGTTTCATCCTGCAGTCTTTTCTCTGCCTCCTCTCTCCTCCTCCTCTCCTCCTCCAGCATCTGACGGCGAGCCAGGCTCTCACGTTCCTGGGGGAGAGAAGCCCTTTCATTAGATATGGTTTTGATCTCTGGAATGGCTTTGCAGAGAGCACAGGCTCTTTTTATTTCACCCAACTCCACATTCATACATTTATGTACATGCTTGTGCTGGCTACTGCACTTCTACCTCAGCAGTTCATGTTAATTATTTATCAGTGTAACGATGGGCTTCAGTGATGGCATTAGAAGGTAATGTAGCTCACCGAGGTTAGATGTTGTTTTTTCCCTTTAATCTTCACGATTTGCATTAAGTAGTAAATATCTACAAATGGCACCAGTCAGCACCTGCAGTTGTAAAAAGTATTCATCTCTATTGGTAATCTTTGTTTTGTTGTCTTACAATCTTAATTTTATTTGGATTTTTAATTTGATGACAACAAAAGTCCTCTCCAGATTAATGAGGATTCAAACAGTCTTTATTATTAAGCTGAAAGGTGGTGCTGCTTTGGGATGTAGTTCCTGTTTTATTTTCATACAAGGAATTTGACACGTTGTTGAGGTACAGACATCTGACGTAAACAAGAAATAAAAAACAAATATACAAAAAAAATAATAATTAAATAAGTCAGATATGAAGTACATAGAAACAGAACGTCAAAAATAAAATAAGTATGAAACTATTGACTTAATAAGCTTAACTATAATTGAAGATTCAAACCAGCTGTGCTAAAAAAAACAAGTTAACTTTCTTGCAGATGAAAAACATTTTGTACAAATGATCATAATTGCAGTGTGTACAACACATTAGTCCAGAAAATTGTGTTAGTGTAACGCACGATGTCCTGACATTAATGTAAAATGTGGTTCATGCATGTTTCACTAAGTGAAACTAACTAACTAAACAAAATAAAAAAAATAAAAATAAAACAACAAGAGGGTTGAATACTTTTCCACCTCAGTTCTGGTTACTTTTTATTCCTCAGACTGATCTAAAAGCAGGAGTTGTGTGAACCGTAGGACAGTACCAACGTGAGGGAGAGGTACGACTTCAACAGAACATGGATTGGATCTTTAATGGCCTTCCTACATCAGACCGAGCTGAAAGGTAAAGATGTCTGAAGGCCAATAAAAACGAAAAAAAAAAAAAAAATAACATTTTTTCTGCACGTTCCTGCTCAGGTCAAAGTTATCGAGCAGATTGCTGCACAAACCCATCTGTCACACAGAATGGATTCCTCGCAGGCTGGAGAGTTTCTCTTTCAACTTTCATCTTACCCGTGATTCAATAAGTCTGGCTTTCTCCAGTTGTGCCTCCTTCAGCATTTTCTCCATCTCCTCAATCTTCAGCAAGTCCATTCCTCCAACACTGTAGGAAACACAGAGCTCAGCAGTTGGTTATTTAACACCCAGCCAGAGCTGTGGTGTCTGTCTGGAAACCTGAAAGCTTCAACATTATTGTGTGTTAAAAACTAAAGAAACTCTTATTCTGTTCTAAATGTTGTGTTTTAGCACAGCTTTGAGATAAACAATGAAACGTGGCTCAACAATGAGCAGTGACTTCTGGTAGTGCTGTGTCCAACAACATAAAGAGCGTTCAGAAAAAAACTGCTACAAATATACTAGTTTGATAATTCCTCAGAAGACCAAAAATCAAACATTTTTTTTGTCCAACATTTACTTAACGCATTTAAAAACTTGTGAAAAATTCAATTCAAGGACTCTGATGAACAGGAATCAAACCAAAAAGCAGCATTACAACATGAAATGTAAAGACTTTCATCAGCAGAGATATATTGATCAGTAATTGATTAATATGCTGCTCAGTAATCAGAAACCAGGTCTTCATCCCCCCTGCCTTTGTTCTGCACCGTTCACACCAGCACACATAACTAAACATCAGCTTTATTAGTGCTGACAGCTGCTGTGGCTTAAGTTCTGGTTCAGGTTAGAGTTAACTATGGACCAGTAATGGTTAATTTTACTAGTTAGGTTTAGAGGTATGGTGTGAGTTAAGTTCTGGTTCAGGTTAGAGTTAACTATGGATCAGTAATGGTTAATTTTACTAGTTAGGTTTAGAGGTATGGTGTGAGTTAAGTTCTGGTTCAGGTTAGAGTTAACTATGGATCAGTAATGGTTAATTTTACTAGTTAGGTTTAGAGGTATGGTGTGAGTTAAGTTCTGGTTCAGGTTAGAGTTAACTATAGAACAGTAATGGTTAATTTTACTAGTTAGGTTTAGAGGTATGGTGTGAGTTAAGTTCTGGTTCAGGTTAGAGTTAACTATAGACCAGTAATGGTTAATTTTACTAGTTAGGTTTAGAGGTATGGTGTGAGTTAAGTTCTGGTTCAGGTTAGAGTTAACTATAGACCAGTAATGGTTAATTTTACTAGTTAGGTTTAGAGGTATGGTGTGAGTTAAGTTCTGGTTCAGGTTAGAGTTAACTATAGACCAGTAATGGTTAATTTTACTAGTTAGGTTTAGAGGTATGGTGTGAGTTAAGTTCTGGTT